CCGTCGGGGCACCCCCCGCGTGTGGGGGTGTTTGGGGAGCGGCTGGAGGCAAAACTGGGCTGATACTGGGAAGTGCTGGGAGAAGCCCTGAATCACTCCTCAGCTCCACTTATTGTTTTGTCCCCGGAGTCATGAAATGCTGGCCCCGGTGCCCCTGAGCGTCCCTCTGGGCTCGGAGGTGCCGGGAGCGGCCGCGGGGCCCCACGCACCCCACGCCCACGGGTGACAGCCGGGTGGGTGTTCCCAGCCCGGCTGGACAGGCAGGGAACCCCTGGCCAGTCCCCCCAGCTCCAGGACAAGCTTGTTCCTCCTCCTCTGGCTCCTGCAGATGCTCCTCACTCAGTCACTTCCATTTCCAAGCCCCGGACGGTTCCTGCTCGTGCATTTTCACTCCGGGATCGGGGATGAAGATAAGACCAAGTGCCCAAGCAGCACTCTGGAGCTCCTGCTTCCTTATTACCACATCTCTTACACTGTCATAGTTTTATTGCTAGCTAGACAAACACTAAACCTGTTCAGAAAGGTGTGATGTCAAGGTTCCAAGTTCACTGTTCTGTGAGAACTAACACCTTTCCTGGGACTGTTCCAGACGGTGGCAGCTGGTTTTTGGGGCAGTGAGCTAAGCAAGAAGGTGAAGTTACAGGCAAAGGGTTTCTATCAGAACATAAATCACCTTTTAATATTGTTTTCTTTTCTCCTCATTGGCAACTTAAATAGTACAGAAAGGAAAGAGGCATCACAGCAATCTCCTGATCCAGTTTTCAGGTGCAAATGCAACAAAAGAAAATGTTTGTTGTGCTTTTTTTAATGTTGAGGAACCTCCAAACCTCTGGGGTAGATTGTGTGTATTGAGGGAGGGACCATCTCCCTTGGTCTAGCTCCAACACCATTGCTGACCTGAGCTAAAAATGTAGTTATTAAATAATCCAGTGTCAGAAAATGTGTTTGGTGAAGGGTACATGGTAACATGGCACAGGCAGCCCGGGTGTTAAGATAACTGAAGGACAGTGATGCTGTTGCCTGGTGCTTTCCCAGCCTGGGCAGGAGGAGCTCAGGTTCTGTGGGCCCTGCCTTTAGTCCACAGCACCCACTGCTTCTGGCTGCTGGTGGGATTGCTGGGTTTGGAGATCAGGCTTTTACTGGGACAGGGTATTTTGCTGGAGGTTGAAGAAAAAGAGCAGGTATTGTAAGATTAAAGATCACAAGGACTGGCAACACGAACGTTACTCTGCTGCCTGGATGTTAAATAGCAGCAACCCAGGAGCATCCACGTGCCTCCAGTGTGATGTGTGATGTGTGGCAGGAGGCCAAAGCTCAAGTCCTCAGTCATCTGGGAAGTGTTAAGTGGCCTGTCTAATTCCTACCACTTCTTAAACTGTTTGGTTTTCTGTAATAGCTGCGGGTTTGGGGAGCAGGGGTAGCAGAAGAGCAGGAGCCTGAGTCTGAGCTGCCTTGCTCAGACTTGCTGCCACACACTCCTCCTTCTCTTGCCAGAGAACCTTTGCATGCCTGAGTCCAGCTGCAATGATGGCAGTCAGACATGGGTTTAAACACCACGTGAAACCTGATTTTTCAGACATGGTTTTAGATGAAGCTCAATGAAATGTGCGAGGTTGGGGTACGAAGTTTGCAAACGTTTGAAAGTTCACACCTAAAAGCTGCCTAACTGGGGTGTGTGCTTTGATGTTGCTCCCTTTTCAGTGGGTGATAAAGCTCAGCTGCAGAGTACCAGGCTGGGAAAGCTTACTTGAAACATTTGCTCACAACTCTGCTTTTTCACTTTTAAACTTATTTTCCAAAGTGGCCACAAAGTCTAATAACTTCACCAGTATAAGCTGAATATGTCTAATAAGCCAAGGGTGATTCTCAGGGTATGAATACACATCTTTTTTCTGCTGTTCAGTTGGTTCAGGTGCAGGGCTGGCAGTTCTCTGGAGAGGCAGCCAGGTCCTGCAGCAAACTTGTTCCAGCATCTACCACCACAGACACCTGAAGCCTCATGGAAAGAAAAAGCAGGTTTCCCCATGACTAGCCAAGGGAGTCCAACCTTTACAGTGAAAACAAGCTTTGTGAAACTCTGCAAAGGTCTGAAAGTCATGAGGGTGGCTCCAGCCCCTTCAGTCACAGACGTGTTGCCCACCCCTCCCATCCCTGTCCCCACGGGCACGGGGCAAAGATCATAAAAAATCCCAACCACAAACATCAGGCCCTTGGGTTCTGTTGTCTGTGATACATTAAACAACTTTCTTCATTTCTAGAGGGATAACCCAGTATTATTGCTTCCCACGTTCTGAATTTTCTGTCCCTCTGAGGTGTTCCAAGTGGTCTTAGAAATATTCAACCACCTTTCCTGTAAGGGGTTCTAAATCTGGCTTTAAATACCAAACAAGTAAACCTACCAGCATAGTACTTATTTTTAGGTTCTTCTTTTTTTTTTTCAGCAGTGCATTTCCTCTGGCTTTTTTCCTTGGTACTTAGTTGATTTAAGACTCCTCTGTATGAGGAATTATTAACCTTCAGAGGACTTACATTTCATCAGAATGAGTGGGAAATGAGCTGGCTCTTGTCAACAGGAAGTTTCAAGAAATTCTAATAGATAATTCTGCATTTTTGCAGTGTTGCAGTGGTTAGCCTTCTAAGTCAATATTAAAGTTTATAGAATCATAGAATCGTTTAGGTTGAAAAAGGTTTTTAAGATCATTGAGTCCAACCATTAACCAAACTCTACCAGGTCCACAAATTTGAAATATAATAAATATTTCATCAGGAACAAAAAAATAATAAATAAATGCCCTCCCTGACTTCAAAATTTAAACTATATTGGAATGCTGTGTTAATTCTGAGAGTTTGGGGGTGGGAGCATTAAATAAAGCCACTGCTTGACACCATGTTGAACCACTAACTACTCTGATGGGCTATCTGGATCAAGCAGACCTTAGAGCTCTTCTGGAACCTGAGACAAGAATGACTTCTTTTTCTTAATACCATCCTGAACTCAGTGGCAGAGAAAGCAGGATTCTGTTTGTGTTCTGCAGGAACCTGGGCTAGTGCTGTTGCAGAAAGTACCTCTGCTTTGTTGGCAGGATGTTGAACGTGGAAGTCAGGGCACAGATAAGTGGCTTGGTTTGCTCCACCCTGCAGCAGGTTGCTGGCACCTCAGTGCAACTGGCAGTCCCAGTCTGACAGCCCCTCAGGCTAAGATGCTGTAGGGGGTTAAATCTGGACTGTCTTGCATTTCTGAAGAGCTGATGGATGTGATGGACCACGGAGTGTTTTTTCTTTCTTGGAAGTCTAACTTCTTCTGTAAGCAATAAACAAGCATTGCATGGCTAATGTCTTCTTCACACTGGCTGTATTTATGTCTTTGAATTTGGCAGGTTCATTTGGGAGCCTGGAAATACCTGTGGCCTCCAGCACCCATCTGGGTGCAGCTTTTCACAGCGGATATTCAGCCCTGCTAAAAGGATTTGTGGATTTCCATGGGGTAAAGACGGAGGCAGAAATCAACTTCTGGGATTGAATCTCAGTTCCAGGCAGGATGGCTCCTCAGCTCTATACACGTGCTTTCAATATCTCCCCAGTAGAGAATGGGAGGTTGTGCATCAATGGAACACCGTGGATTTGGCAGCTCCTGGAAGAATGTGTGGAGAATGTGGGGGAGTATTGGAGCCTTGTCACAGGCCTGGTGTCCATTGTCTGCTTTCTGTTTGCTGCACTCCCGTAAGTTTCAAGTCTGAGGCAGCCTTGAAACACCAGTAATCTTGCCTGAAGCCCTTTTCAAAAGCTGCCTTTATTTGTTTAATTTATTTATTTAATTATTTATTTCTTTTCCCTTGGATGTGTTTCTCTATCTGCATAATGCAGATATAATATGCCAAGGAAGCATGTTGTTCGTGTTTGCAACAACATTTGGTGGCTGACAAATGAGCTTGATGTACCGTTGTGTTGTACTGACTTGACACTAATCTCTGCCACTTAGGACAAATGAGAATAAATCACCTCCCTTATCTTCTCCACCCTGAGATGTGTGCACACACACAGGCACACTCGCAGCAGGAGCTGCCTCAGTGTTTGTTGAAACCACACTCCGTGTCACCAGTTCTGCTGTGCTGGCTCCTGCCAGGGAAATTTGGGCTGAGCCAAGGTCAGGAGCAGCCCATGAGTTAGCACGTGGGCAGAGCTGCATCAGCTCTGGGCTCCAGTTTCAGATCTGTAGGTAGGAGATGACAAAGGAAAAGCAGAAATGCTCCCAGCAGGTGAAAGTGCCTGGAATAAAATGGGATTGACTCCAAAGTCTGTCCCTGTCAGGGGGATATAATTTACTGAACTGGTCTATGGGAATAAAGCAGAAGGAAGCCACTCTTGGTGAGCTGTTGGGCTTCAGAAATGTTAGTTGAAAGGGGCTTTACATTAAAACTGTCATGTTAGTGAGCATGGGATTCATCAAGTTATGTCTAATGGACTCAGGTTTGGGATTGCTGCATAGTCCCTGTTGTGAATCTGAATAACAGTTCTCCAGTTTAGGGGCATAAATGTCCATGTCAGGGCTTTTAGCAGCTTTGTTTGTTCTCTGTTAAATAACTGCTCTTCTTATTTCAATATTTTCAAGGCTGGTATTTACAGCAGATGGGTATAAAATGCTGACAGCATGGTTCTGCTGTCCAGGAAATGGTATTTCAGAGCAGGCTACAACAAAGGAGGACATGCAAGGAGTAATGAGGTTGTGATTTGAGCCTTTTGTTAGGTTAGAGTGAGACGTGGTGAGCCCCAGTGATACTGAGTTCCTCTTCAAAGGTGAGTGCAGCACTGCTGTGACAGGTCTCTGTGGGTAGAGTTTTAATCTCTCTTTATTCAGATTTTGAAAAAATGTACTTCTGAGCTTATGAAACCTTCTTTGCTTACACTGTTTTACAATTGCTTCTGGAATTTGTGCCAGTCAAATTTACCTTGCCTGTCAGAATGGAAGAGTGGACCAAGCTGTGTCTCTGGGCTTCCTGCTGTGCTGGATAGCTGGGGATCTTACCAATTTCATAGGCTGCTATTTAACACATCAACTGCCCATCCAGGTAACTTGTCAATATTCCTGCTTTTTGATTTATCCTTTTCCAGCCTCTTTAAATGCTGGGACAACTTTATTTTGCCCAGCAAAGTACATACTGGGAGAGAAAATAGGTTTGTATTCTGTTCACTGACCTACCATCTGTAAAACGAGTCAGAATTTGCCAGATATTTGCATCGATGCTGTTAGGTGCTATAGGAACCATTTCAGACTTGCAGTTAGTATTTTTAGAGATGTAATGGGTGTTACTCAGTGATGAAAGAAGTGAGGAATTTTCACTTACATTTCAGCTTCAAAGTAAGCTTGCAGAGCAAAGGGCTGGAAGGAAGTTGTGTTGTTACGAAGAAGCTTGTAGTACATGAAGCTGGTTTGGGGCAGCTACTCTTTAAACTTCAGTTTTGCTGTTGTTTTGTTGGTTTGGTTTGTTTAAGAGAACTTAATTAACAGGGAATTACTGGTACAAAGCTGTTAATGTCTGATTAATCTGAAAAGACGTCTTCTTAATGAAGGGGAGGGTTTGTGGGAAAGGAACACTCCCTTCCTGCAGTACCTTCCTTGGGTCTGAAACTGTCTGATCTGCAGGTTTTATTGTTTGCTCTTAATTAAAAGAGAAAGAGACACGTGGAGGCAAGTGGAGCCCTGCAGGAGGTGTCACAAGCTGAAGATGGACCCAAGGGTGGGCAGAGCTGCCTTCTCTTTTACAGCTTGACGTGTGGCACTGACCCTTCCATCTCCCCCTTGTGAAAGGAGAAGAGAGAATGTTGGGTTTGTCCTGCTGAGGGAAGAGGCACTGAGTGGGATCAGGAGCTTCCAAAGTGCTGGACAGCTGGGTGGAGCAGCCTTGGGCTGCTGGGCAGGAGGGATTGATCAGGCTGAGAGAGCTGGGACTCCAGCCTGGGGAAGAGAAGGCTGAGGGGGGAGAGCTCCTTAAAGCCTGCAGGTGTCTAAGGGTGGGTGCAGGGAGGATGGAGCCAGGCTCTTTTTGGTGGTTCCCAGTGACAGGATGAGGACACACCTGGGCAACAGGCACAAGCTGGAACGTGGGAAGTGCCACTGAAATATGAGGGGAAACTTCTTTACAGTGAGGGTGACAGAGCCCTGGGACAGGGTGTGGAGTCTCCTTCTCTGGAGAGAGCCAGGACCCCCCTGGATGCAGCCCTGGGTGATGTGCTCTGGGTGATGCTGCTCAGCAGGGAGCTGGCTGATCTCTAGAAGTCCCTTCCAGCTCTGGCAATTCCATCATTCTGTGATTCCATGAGTGGCCAGGTAGGAATTTGTACTGTGGAAAACGACCAGCTGTTGAGATTGTGTCAGCAAGTCCCTGTTGCACAAGGTTTGCTCTGCATCCACCTGCAGCAGGATGACTTGGTTTGGGCTGGAAATGCTTTCTTTTTGGCAGTGCTTTGGTATTTGTCATTCACTGGGTGATTGTGAAGCAACATTTCCAAGCAGTTAAGATATTTTGAACTCTGTGCATACTGAACAAACAAATGCATCTTCTCTTTCAGATTGCCACTGCCATTTTTTATGTTAACATGGATATAATTATGATTTCCCAATTTGTCTACTACAAGCTCAAGAATCAGAAGATGACAAAATGTAAGGTTTTTTTTAATAATTAAAATGTTCCCCATAATGTAGCAGCACATTGTTTACCTTGATGTTTTCTACAGGATTGAAGTACAGTGTTTCTCAGGGGGATCAAAACATAGAGTGCCCTCATTCTGGCTGGAGTTGTTAGGCTTGTTCCCAGTTTTCTCAGGCTCTTGTGAAAATCCTACCCTTTCTTTTCTCCCCCTTTTTGCCTTTCTCTCTTTCCTTACCCACATAATATCTGTCTGTATTGTCCACGTAGCTCTTCCAGTTTATAGAGACATGCAAAATGCAGTGGTTTTGTGGAATCTGATGCCATATTTTAACTTATCCCATGCTTTTCTACCTACTTACAGCTACCTAAATATGTGTTAGTTGAAAGTGAGCATGACTGGGTGTAGTCAGTCTCCTCTATGTTGATTGAAATGGAGCTTTATTTGCTTCTGGCATGAAATATCTTGACATCTTCATGTGTTCTGTTTCAGTACATATAGTTAAAAGACATATTCAAGGGGAATTAAATTACCAGAGTTGTGCTTCATACAATCCTGGCAGTAGTTGTAGTGTTCAGCCCACCAAGGAGCTGCTGTTGTGACTGAAATGGACTGAAAGCTCCATTCACATTGTATCAAATCAAAAACACTACCTCATCAATCTAAAAGCAAAAAGAAAGTATCCAAGGAAATCCATGGTGCAGCAGAGGTAACGAAGAGCTGAAGTAAAACAGGGATAAAGCAGATCCATTCAGTATGGAACTGAGAAGAAACCTGAAGATAGGTCAGTGCTGAAGATGTTTCCTTCCTGCTGCCTCCTCTTGGAAACGAACACAGGCTTTTGTGCATTTTAGCTGCCAGTGCCTGTTTCAGCTCCATGGGCTGCTCAGCTGGAGAGGGAGGGATGTCAGTGTGGGAAAGCCATAAAAAGATACATGAAATTGCAAATGTAAATTTACCTAGAATGGTTTCAGTTGGAAGGCACCTTAAAGATCATCTAGACCCAACCCCTGCATGGGCAGGGACACCTCCCACCAGCCCAGGCTGCTCCAAGCCCCATCCAACCTGCCCTTCAACACTGCCAGGGATGGGGCAGCCACAGCTTCCCTGGGCAACCTGGGCCAGGCTCTCACCACCCTCACAGCACAGAATTTCTTCCTAATCTCTCATCTCAATCTCCCCCCTTCCAATTTAAAAGCATTCCCCCTCATCCCATCACACCAAGCCCTTGTCCAAAACCCTCTCCAGCTTTCCTGGAGCCCCTTCAGGCCCTGGAAGCTGCTCTCAGGTCTCCCTGGAGCCTTCTCTTCTCCAGGCTGAACACCCCAACCCTCCCAGCCTGTCCCCAGAGCTGCTCCAGCCCTTTTAAATAAGATGTGCTGAAAAAAGCCCTTGCATTGTTGTACTTAGCAGCTTTATGTTTATCAGCTGCTATTTAACCATAAACAATCAGGAGGTAAGAGAGATGCTGAGGATGAACATTTCCCCTCTGAGGAGCAGTGCCCATGCAAGGAGCTTGTCCCATTCCTGTGCTGCTCCCTCTGTTGTTGCACAGACACTGCACAACCCTGAGAGTGAGCAGGGCTGGGCACAGAGCCCAGGAGAAGGAGGTGGATGGGGGTACATCCCTGCCAAGGAAAAGGGGACATGAAGTTGTAACCTCACACGTTTATCTCGCAAACAAGAAGTGACCTTGAATCAACAGCAGATGTTGTTTTTCAGCTCGTGGCTTTGCATGTCATTCTAGGCAGCAAAAGCCTGAGGAGTTTCTGTGTCACCTGGATCACGGTGTGCACAGCACTGTGTGTCATTTTACTCTGTCAGCTGGTCCCAAGGAACCAGGCCCAGAGCACGGGCATCAGGAGGAGTAATGTAAGTTCTCACCTGCTTCCCTTCCAAAAAACTCCCACCCAAAAGTGTCATGGAAAGATTGTGTACCCTGAGCTCCAAAGAATCATGGATGATAATTTTATCAATGATTTAGAAATCATAACTGTCACACTGTGGGGATGTTTTAACTGTGGGCCATACATCCCCAAAAGAAAGAAGTTATAAAATTGCTTCTTTTAGCAGCTTCCTGTGTTTTGGGGCTTGTTCTGTCCCTGGGGTTGTTGGGATGTGCAGCTCTGTGGAATTACATGTGTGTGTGTGTTGTCTTCCTGCTGGTGTTGCATCCTCCAGACACCCACGTAGACCCTGCACAGTCACAAGTGGGATCAATAGAAGTGGAAAATTACAATTGTACCTGCTGCTGCTGTCATTTCAG